GAGTTCTGGGAATTCTAGTGGACTTCAAGAGTCCTTCATGTTTGCCGTCTGCTGTCACATGCTGGCCTAAAAAAATTAAGAATTGTTCTCACAATAAACTCGAGCAATAGTCTGTCCCCAGTTAACACTAATGATTTGAAAGCTCTTCTCTAGAACGGAATCAAAATAAAAGCAAACAGCTTTTCTGTTTTTTATTCAGTTGAAGTTTTGGTGTATGAAACACTGAATTCAGCTTTTTTATTGCTTCCAAGGGCCCCCTAACCGTGTCATATGACGTAGAGGGCCTCTAGAAATTTAAAAGCAGACGGATTATATATATATATATATATTAAAGAATCCATTGGCTTTTAAGTTAACATATATATTATCTAGTTTATCAGGACTATATATATCTAGTTTAGCAAGACATTAATGTGCCACCTAAGCCTTCGGGCCCCTATGCGACGGCATTCTTTGCATACCCTTATTTATGCCACTGATGATAGTTTAGAGATGAAGATTGTTAGAGGTTACAGCTGACTTTGTTTTTAATTTATGAATAGCAACCTAAATTTATGATTTAGCTTGTCACGGAACATTCCTAAACAAATCAGCAATTATCTTTGACTAAACCATTTATCATGTGATATATACAAATGAATCACAGTACCTCATTCCATATGGGAAAAATTTTGAACAGTACCGTATTCCAATTTGTGCATGTCTTATGCTATGTATCTTGAATGCATATTCCATTTGACATTTTTTACTTTATTTTTGCACATAACAACAGCACGAAAGTTATTGTTATGTTTTAGTATTAAGTGACTGTAAATAAGAATGAATGCATGATTGCAAGAAACAAGTTTGATATGTGAAAATATGAAATTGCAAAAATTACTCAGATACTTTGAATGGCACTGAAAGTACTGGAATGGATTCGATAATTTTTAGATACTTCATTTATTTCAATTTTTTACTTTAATATACTATATGTATTTTATTATTTCATAATATTTTAGGATTTGGACGATCCATTAATAAATCAATATATATTACCTTTTCAAAATTCTATTAGAACCGCTTTCTATATTTTTAACTTACATATATATCTTTAATTTAAAATAGCATATAGGTGGGCATCACTACTGAGCTTAGGTAAAGCAAGAGTGCCAATGTATGCAAAGACAGCAATACTGAATGTAGTCTACCATATATATATCTATTTCCATTTAAAATAATGCTACAGTGTCTCAAAAAAGTGATGGGACACTTGTGCTTTACAAAAGGAAACTGCAATAAAATAAATTTAAAAAACATGTAAAATTTTTTGTGGGTGTGTTTCATACTTAAATTTAGTAACAATTATTACATAACATACATTTTCTCAAAATATTCAAATATTAATTTGATAAAAATACAATTGTTTAGAACAGAGCAGAAAATGGCTCACTTAAGTGATGAGACACTTTTCCATCAAATATTTATCCAAAAATTTTACCTTTTAAAAGGATTTAATATTTCGTTTGATTTCCTTTTACTTTTAAAACAAGATTTAATCTTCTTGGGATGGATTCGACTAATATTTTTGCGATTTCTGGAGTGATTTTACCCCATTCTTCTGCACCGATTTTAATTGTTGTTTTGAAGAAATGGTGTGTTTGCGAATTCTTGATTCCAATTCTTGCCAAATATTCTCTATGGGATTTAATTGTGGAGATTGTGGGGGTGTTTTTATTATTTCAGGACAGTTATACAGCAGCCAGAGTCTAACATTCAAAGCACTGTGCTTGGGGTCATTGTCCTGGTAGAATTTAAAATCATTATGAAGGTTCAACTTTCGTGCTGAAGATTTCAAATTTTGATTTAAAATGTCAATATACATGTACTGATCCATTATACTGTCAATAAAAACAAGATTACCAACTCCAGCGGACGACATACACCTCCATACCATAACTCCTCCTCCACCATGTTTTACTGTTGGCACCAAGTTCTGTTTGCGAAACACCAAGATTCTACCGTCAGAACCAAATAAATAAATTAAATTTACTCTCATCAGCAAATATAACTTAAATATATAATAATATAAAATGTATGTTATGTAATAATTGTTACTAAATTTAAGTATGAAACACACCCACAAAAAATTTTACATGTTTTTTTAATTTATTTTATTGCAGTTCCTTTTGTAAAGCACAAGTGTCCCATCACGTTTTTGAGACACTGTACGTACACAGATCACATATTCCAAAGATCAGCCATAATATGTTTGCAAATAATGCAAAAGAAGACTTTTAATGAATTTTTTTTCTTGATTTAAGGGAAATATAATTTTAAGTGTGCATAACTAACAAAAATATTAAAAATGTAACTTTTCTAGTTTTCTCTTCTTTTTGTTCATTTTTTGCCAAAATAACAATAAATTAGAAATTAAAGAAAAGATTGCTTGCATGACAAGAAAAGTTAAACTGCAGTACATGATATTTCTGGAAACAATTTCCTTTAATGATAAAACAAAATCTGGGAAGATTTATCATTACATACTAAGAATAAAACATGAAATTAAAATAAAATGAATATTAACTACCTTAATAGAAACATATACAGTGTCTCACAAAAGTGATGGGACACTGTGCTTTACAAAAGGAAACTGTAGTAAAATAAATTAAAAAAACATGTAAAAATTTTTTGTGGGTGTGTTTCATACTTAAATTTAGTAACAATTATTACATAACATACATTTTCTCAAAATATTAATTTAATAAAAATACCATTGTTTAGAACGGAGCAAAAAATGGCTCACATAAGTGATGGGACACTTACTTTTCCATCAAATATTTATCCAAAAATTTTACTTTTTAAAAGGTTTTAACATTTTGTTGGATTTCCTTTTACTTTTAAAACATGATTTAATCTTCTTGGGATGGATTCGACTAATTTTTTTTGTGATTTCTGGAGCAATTTTACCCCATTCTTCTTAAAGCACCGATTCTAATGTTCTTTTGAAGAAATGGTGTGTTAGCGAATTCTTGATTCCAATTCTTGCCAAATATTCTCTATGGGATTTAAGTCTGGAGATTGTGGTGGTGTTTTTATTATTTCAGGATAGTTATACAGCAGCCAGAGTCTAACTTTCAAAGCAGTGTGCTTGGGGTCATTGTCCTGGTAGAATTTAAAATCGTTATGAAGATTCAATTTTCGTGCTGAAGATTTCAAATTTTGATTTAAAATGTCAATATACTAGTACTGATCCATTATACTGTCAATAAAAACAAGACTGCCAACTCCAGCGGACGACATACATCCCCATACCATAACTCCTCCTCCACCATGTTTTACTGTTGGCACCAAGTTCTGTTTGCGAAATTCTTCCCTGGGTTTTCTCCACACCAAGATTCTACCGTCAGAACCAAACATATTAAATTTACTCTCATCAGTAAATATAACTTTTCCAGTAATCAAAATTCTTATTTATGTTGGATTTTGTGAAAGCCAGTGTGAGTTTTCTATTCCTTTCACTTACGAAGAATTTTTTCCTGGTTGCTCTACCCTGATATCCAGCAGATCGAATTACTCTTCTAATAGTCTCGGGATTAACAATTACTCTATATAATGCTTATAAATCAGCAGCAACCTTAGGAGCACTCATTCTTGGATTTTTTTAAATACTTCGAACGATAATTTGCTTTATTCCATTGGATAGCTTTGATGGTCGGCCAGGTCTTCTTTTATCCTGAATCATATGAATCTTTTTATGTTATTTAATGATATTGAAAACTGTTGAATGACTTAAGTTAACTGTTTCAGCAGTTTCTCTAATAGATGTTCTAATAATAATTCTCTAATAGATCCATGTTCAATATGCAAATTAATAACTCATTTTCGAATTTCAGGCAAAGTTTCTTTTTGTTTAGCATTTATGGCTGCACAAAGCTAAAAAACACAAAATTTCCAAAACAAACTGGAGAGAAATACTGCAGACGATTTTATAAATTATTGCCAATTGCTTTTGAGTAAAAATAAAAACCAAAAAAAATATTTTTATCGTAGTACGTAGTAGTATCTAATGGTGTCCCATCACTTATGTGAGCTATTTTTTGCTTCGTTCTAAACAATTGTATTTTTATTAAATTAATATGTTAATATTTTGAGAAAATGTATATTATGTAATAATTGTTACTAAATTTAAGTATGAAACACACTTACAAAAAATTTGTACATGCTTTTTAAAATTTATTTTACTACAGTTTCCTTTTCTAAAGCACAAGTGTCCCATCACTTTTGTGAGACACTGTATAATTTAATTATACATACAGAAAAGCCACAACATTATCTGTAGCCAATAAGAAGAAATGAATCATGTTTAACTTCCGACAACAAATTAGAGTATTTAGCTTAAGATTTAATTACATGTTGATCAATTTTTCAGAAATATACTGTTAATTATAACTTTGTAATTACTATTACAAAATATATAATGTGTGAACAATTTTTTTTTTTTTCTTTAAGACCTATTTGTTTACGTTTCAGTAATAATAATCCGATAATGAACAAACATATATAAATATATATAGATTTCTGAAAAGATTTATATTAAAAAAAAATTCCTTTGCCATTGCAACTAATTTTCAGCATTAGTTATAAACAATAGAGGTAATCACTTCCAAATGTTAAGCTATCAAACAATATTACTGTTATTACTAAAAATTTCGATTTTTCTTACATTTCACAAAAATGCACAAAATCAACAAATAAAATAAAACAGCAAATGATGAAACTTAGGCAAAATGTTTACCCCATTCAAATTTTATTTTGTGTCCCTGAGCATGTAACTCAAAATTACTTAATAAAATAGTTCCCCTTACAACATAGGAAAAAAAAAAAAAAAAAAAAAAAAAAAAAAATTAAAAATGGGAAATAATATCCTAATTGGGGATATACGAACAGATATATTACGCACATATATACACATTTTATAACCTTTGAAGAATTTAAACGAATTTTACTGCATTAATTACATGCTTCGTATTAACTCTACAAAACGTATTTGATCAGAATTTCAGGTCAATGAACAGCATTGCTGTTCGCAAAGTGAATATACCAACAATTCGAAAAATGAAATTATTACTGAATGCAGGTTTCTATTATAAGCACAAAAATAAGGGTCATGGGGCACTTCTTGTAAGATTTAACAGCATGCTACATATTTACGTACACGACACATATAAGAATACTCAAAGAATAAATAAGGTGGGGTGTTAACACTTACCTTGTTTTCTTATAATCCAATGACTTGAATGAAGTATAGGGCACACCTCCCTTGATTCTCATATCATTTACCATCCCCAATTCGTCAGTGTAATCCGGAGGTAAGAGGTATTTAAATGTGTGATAAATATAAGCATGAACATACTAAATTTTGTTTTGTTTAACATCCCAGATATGAATAATGTCAGGCATTATTTCTATAAATTATATTTCATTCTCGGTCTGAGATGTTTTAGCAAAGAATTTAGAGGGAATAATAATAAACGTTCTTTGGGTTTAGTGATGATACTTTTCATCTTTTTCTTTATTTTTTATTTATTTATTTATTATTATTATTATTTTTTTTTTCTGCTTATTACGTGCGTGGAGGACTTTTTTAAGGGAAACTGTCTCGTATCCACGTTACATATGGGGAAAAACACGAAAACGCCCGTGCAGCCAGCCCGTTTGCCGGGCCTCGAACCCCAGATCGAACTACGAGTGTTCAGCGGCTTTAATCGCTCGCCCACTGGCAACACCAAGGAGGTTAGAATCAAGGAGGTTAGAATAGAAGGAGGGACGGTTCAACTCAAACGGTGAAGCTTGGCGGCCATCTTCCTGTTATCACCGTGACTTGTGCAAGGAAGTCTGTCATTGCAACATTTTTTTCTTTTCTTTTTGAAGCATGTCAGCTTGTGTTGCTTGTATTGCATATGGATGCACAAATAGATTCTCGAAAAAAATTCCGGGCATTATTTTTCACACGTAAGTATTAATTTTCTTTTTTTATGTAATATACGACAACTATGTCAAAAAATATCACTATGTCATGTGGTTTTCTTTCCAGATACGGAAAAAAAAGGGACTTAAATAATCAAAATAGGTTATTTAATATAACTATAATCAAAATATATTAAATACATTTTAATGTTTCTGTTTATAGCTGGTATCTTCGTTCCTTAAGATACAATGCTATATGGTAGGATTTAAATTGTATAATTTGAACGTTTTAGTTAATTCGTTTTAGAACTTTCATGAAAAGTAAGAAATCAATGTGGCAAAAACATGGCTGACGACTCACACATATCAGTCGTGACGTCACGCATCGTGACGTATCATGGCTTCATTTTCATTGCATGGGAACATACAGGGAAGGCTTACTCCATCTATTCTAACCTCCTTGGGCAACACCGACTCTACCAACTCGACAGAGTCGGTGTTGCCACTGGTGAGCACTTTTCATCTGTCGGAGCAAAAAATTTCGCTAAGCACATTTGGTGGTCGTGTGTGCTTAATGCATGATATAATTAAAGAAAATAGAGTAGACAATCTCCTATAACAAAAGAATATATTAAGTACTAAATTACAATTTAAATTACATTGCAGAGATCAACACAGAGCTCGGAACACAAGTTCATGCTACCTTCGTAGCGTACAGTTGTCCGACGAGAAGTCTGAGTGAGTAAATGATGTCGATTTGCTGCTCCGATTAAGAACTGGATTTTACACGTGGCACCTATCTCATGAATAGAAGTTGAAGTATCTGTCGGAACGCCACAGTACCCCCCCCCCCCAAGTACCATCGGTACGTTATAAGTACTTTGGGTTAAATTTAACCTTTCTTCCAGATCTGGTAGTAGTTTTAGGTTGCTCTTTAACGGGATGTAAGCTTTCTTCCGGGAGTGATGTTGATGAGGAAGTTGTTGGATCTTGCATTAGAAATGCTGGTTTGAGACGATCGATTCCAATCACTGATTGTTTACTATTGCAGATGATGGTGAAATGTTTCGGTGTTCGTTTGACAACTTTGAATGGACCATCACATGAAGGTGTTAAAGTTGTCTTAATTGCATCGTTGCGCACGAATACGTGCGAAGATGTCTCAAGCGCAGGATGTACAAAATAGCTTGGCTGGTTATGCGAAGATGCTGGGGTTGGCGAGATATTGCTCATGGTCTCACGTAAACGTTGAAGGAATGTTGGAGGGTCGATAACTGGAGTAGATTCTGGGTGAAAGAATTCACCTGGCAGACGGAGGGTTGCACCATATAACATTTCAGCACAAGTGCTACCAATGTCTTCTTTGAATGCTGTGCGAAGACCAAGCAAGACTAGGGGTAAGGCTTCTGTCCAGTGTGTGCTACTGTGGCACTTCAGACCTTGTTTGAGAGATCGGTGAAAGCGTTCCACCATCCCATTTCCAGATGGATGGTATGGTGTTGTGCGAATATGGCGAATGCCAAGAAGAGAGGTGAGAGATGCGAACAAGTGACATTGAAATTGTCGGCCTTGGTCAGTAGTGATGGTGGTAGGCATGCCAAATCTTGAAAGCCACTGGGAGATGAATGCTCGAGCTACAGTTTCATCGGATATATTTTCAATAGGAATGGCTTCAGGCCATCTTGTGTACCGATCAATACAAGTGAGGAGGTAAGTGTAACCATTTGAAGGAGGCAATGGGCCAACCAAGTCTAAGTGTACATGATCAAAGCGTCTTGCTGGAAGGTTAAATTGTTGAATGGGACCGTGAGTGTGACGGGATACTTTACACCGTTGACATCTAATACATGAACGAGTCCATTCTGTGATGTCTTGATTCATCGCTGGCCAGACAAATCTGTCTGCGATCAGCTTTTCGGTGGCACGGATTCCAGGATGTGCCAAATTGTGCAAGGCATTAAACACTTCACGTCTAAAATTGACAGGAATATAGGGACGTATTCTATTGTTCTCTATGTCACAGTAAATTTTAAGCGTTGGATCAATGTGCAGCGGTTGTAACTGAAGGGAGGTTTGTGGATTTGAGATTAGGTTCTTGAGTTCCTCATCATGCAATTGAGCTTTTGCAATTTCAGAGAAATCTGGGGTAGTCCGGTTGATATTGTTTACCCGAGACAAGGCATCAGCGACACAATTATCAGTACCAGAGACATATCTGATATCTGTACTAAACTGGGCGATGAAATCCAGATGTCGAAGCTGACGAGGAGAACATGAGTCAGAGTTTTTTCTAAAAGCGAAGGTTAATGGTCGATGATCGGTGAAAATGATGAAGTCGTGTCCTTCCAAGTTGTGCCGGAAGTATTTAACAGCACAGTGCACAGCAAGTAGCCCCCTGTCATATGTGCTGTATTTCCTTTCTGCAGTAGTAAGTTTTCTGGAGAAGAATGCCATTGGGGAAAGTCCTTTAGTGGTATGGGCTTGAAGCACTGCTCCTATGGCCGTGTCAGAATGCATCTACCATTATAGAGAGCTGATCACTAGGTGAGTGATAAGAAAGTGTGGCTGCATTTGCCAGATCGTGTTTGCATTGCACGAATGCTGCAGATGCAGATTCAGTCCAAGGGGACAGCTCGTTGATCGTTTTTTTTTTTTGCTATTCTTCAGAAAACTCATGCAGGACTAGGCTTGTGTTTTTGCAGCATTTGGTAGAAAGCGTAGAACGGTAGAAATTTAACATTGCTAGGAAAACGCTTCAGTTCAGAGATGGTTTTTGGGTTGGGGTAGGTAGGTCGTTAATTGCTTTGACTCTTTCCAGGTAAAGATTTTACTCCATTCTGAGGGTGATAAGACATCCGAGAAAGGAAAACTGATGGGTTGACCAAGGTACACATTTGGATGGATTTAGTTTTAATCCATGATCTTTAAGGCGAGTGAAAATCTGGACGCAGATGTTGAAAATGTTCTTCCGCATCTGTAGATGCAACCAGGATATCATCAAAATATGGGATGCAGAAATCGAGACCAGACAGTACTTGGTGTATGAAACGCTGATGAAATTTTGGCCAGCATTGCGAAGGCCAAATGGCATATATAAGTACTCAAAGAGGCCAAATGGTGTAGTCCACTACTGCGGTCTTAGGCACATCTTCAGCATGCACTGGGATCTGATGATATGCTCTGGCAAGATCGAGGGTAGAAAATATGTTTGTTCCATGAAAAAGATGGGTACAGTCTTGGATATGTGGGACTGGATATCTGTCAGGGACTGTAACGGCATTAAGTCGACGATAATCTCCACAAGGCCGCCAGTCACCATTAGACTTTTTAACCATGTGAAGTGGACTGGCCCATGGACTTTTAGATGGGCGAATGGTTCCCTGTGCTAGCATGAATTCAAATTCTTTGCGAGCAGCTTTTAGCATCTCTGGAGAAAGACGACGAGGCTTGGAAAATACAGGTGGGCCATGTGTTTCAATGTGATGATACACTTCTGGCTGATGAGTATGCTGCCCTGATTTGGATGTGTTTAAAATGTCAGGGAATTCTGCTAATAACCGATGAAACCGTGTGCTGCCCGATAAAACACTTATGTTGGTAGGAACATTTGATACGTGAGAAGCTTGGCCCTGTGATGTCAGCTGAGTTGTAGCATCAATTAAGCAATTATTCTTGACATCCACTAGAAGGTGGAAATGTGTCAAGAAGTCGACACCACTAATTGCTTGAGTTACATCCGCAATAATAAAAGGCCAGTTGAAAGTCCCGGCGCAAGTTTAAATCAAGTGTCAATAGTTTGGTGCCGTAGTAGGTTGCAATTTGGGTACCATTGGCTGCATACAGTACAAGTTTATTAAGTTGGTGAGCATTTGTTTTAGTTCTCGGGAGCACTGATATGTCAGCTCCAGTATCTACTAGAAAACATAACTGAGTTGAACGATCAGCCAGTACTATTCTGTCGATGTGGCGGACCTTCTGTTGGCCAGCAGAAGACCGCCCATTTAGTTTCCCGCTTGTACAAAAGTGCATGGAGGGGCACACTTGCGAGCCAAAATTCATATGATAAAAACATATGCCACTTGTGGGTTCTTTGTACTGCGTTCGAGTATTATGACGAGATGGACTCCTGCTTCGGGCACGAAATTTATTACGTGGGCCCTGATTTGATCGATTGTATCTCCGTGAAGCAT